ATTTCATAAAGTTTAATTCTTTTATTTTTACCGCTAAATCATAACATAGCAGTACAAATTTTTTGAACAAAATGATTTAAAGACAAAGAGCCCGATGCATCAGTGATAGAAAGAGCCTAAATTTTGCTTAATAGTTAAAGAGTTTAGCTCCTTTTGTGTTGGCTTATGGCACCACAGAGCTACAAGCAGCACATCAGCACCACAATATGCAACACCGAAGCGCAACAACCCCAGCTACTCAGTTTTGAAACATAAATTTTGAAAATTTAGTTAAGTGAGGACAAATAAAAATAAAATTTAGTTCTTTTTCTTTTTCTATAAATGATTTTTCTTCTTCCCCCCCCCAAACTTACATTTTTAAAAGATTTTTTTTTCATGAAGAACTTTAAAAATGAAGGGTGAAAGAAAGCATTAATACATAAAAAAAAATTCACACATGTTGGAGATTCTGATTTTTGAACATAAATTTTGAAATATTGCATGTGCTAATATGAAAATTATAAGGCTAAAAACATTAAATTGCACATAATACATATAAAATTTGCTGAGAAAGAGCTAATCACAATACATAACAAAGTGCTGAAAATAATAATAAAACTAAACTAAATTCCAAAAATGAAAACAGTTTTTCATATTACAGTTTCACATAACATAACAACAGAGTCTCAACAACAACATAACACAAATAATACAATCACACAGTACAAACACATACAAATAAACAAATAAAAAGATCACCAATCATCATCTTCCTTATCATCAACATCAAACTTTTACTACTGATATGGAGAATAAGTAGGGTGAATAGGGAACTGAACTGTATGGTCACCCCTCAGGTATCTCACTAAAGCATCATCATAAGCAGCATCATACTCAAATTTTTGGCAAATCAGATCATCAGTGTGAGCATCTTTGGCCTCCATATTTTGCATCCTATGGTCCATCCTTAAAATATCTCCCTGTTGAATCATCATCTGGTCCAACAACTCCCTGTTGCTGGGGTCACTTGAAGTAGGCTCACTAAAAGTAGGGGTTTTATAAGTATAAGGAATATCCCTGGCCTGTCTTCTAGATCTCCAATCAACATGGGACTCATAAG